TTTAATCACCTTCTACTTTTTGGCTTATGTTAAAACATGATTTCAAAATTTTCGTATAGAAATTTATCATTCCACCTTTCTAAGGGAACTACATTTTATTAATCTTCAGTAATTAATTCAAATCTGCATTTTCTTTGCTATTGTATCTAAATTGAATAAAAATTATTAACCAAAGGTAACGAAACTAGTTTGTAGACTTTAACGAGATAATAAGTTTTACATTTTTAATAAAGTTAATTTATATAAGATTGTTTCGTTGCTAAAAAATTTGATATATATATATATATATCATCTTTTTCATTATCTTCAATCATCTCTTTCAATCAAATTAAATTCTCAAAACGTTATGTGGCGAAACGATATTTGCAAAACTTATCTAATAATTAAAAAACTAAATTTCCTTTAATAATTAATAATTGTAACACTTATGAAAAATAATATTCATAAAATATCTATAAAGAAGTCATAGCATTTCTTCTACACATTGTAACACTTAAAAGTAAAATTTTTTAACTCTTACAAATAGCTTAACTCGTAACACTTTCTTAATATAATACAATAACTCTTAAAGCGTAGGGTGACGCTACGATCATTTAGTTAGTAAAATTCTAAATGATAGATATTGAATAATTGTAAGAAATAAGGAAAATTTTATTAATAAAAATCTATGAAGTAGCATTAGTATTTCTTCCACACTTGTAAAAGTTAAAAACAACGAAATTCTTCTATGCAACATAGTCATGCAATGGTAACTACTTCATTTTTGTAAAGCTTGCAAATGATAGCCAGTTAATTCATTTTAAATATGTCATTTTAGCTTTATTTTTTACTCATGGTCATGAGCTTATTAATTCCAATCTTTATTTCCGTGTATCTGTATGATTGTAGCTAAAGTGGGTCATAAGTGAAGACAAAAGAATTTTGAAAGGGTGTGGTAGGGTAAAAAGATTTCCGTGTCAGAGATTAATAAAAAATATCGGAAATAGCTTAAATTCCAGCTGTCATTGTTACATGGATTAGCTATACCATGAAGTTTTTTCACAAGATCTGAGAGCCATAATTTTGAGTACTCAGGAAAATAAGACATATTTCAAGTATTTCGGGGTATAGCGTCCATAGTTTTGTCTCGTATACAACACAATTACTTGAACCAACAGTTTTAGTAAAAAGCGATTTCATTTCCTTTTTTTCTCTGTCATTTATATTATTTCCTTACTGACATGTAATGTAATATTTGCTTAACTATAAAAAATTGTTTTTCAATAGGATAAAAATATTCAATGAGCTTTATTAACCAGGGTTTTTCGATGATTGACTTACTTGAAAAAATAATATATTGGTTTCATTAAAGTTGATCATTCATAAGACAATCATTTTAAATATAACCATTTATTTAAGAATAATAAACTTTTAAGTTGATTTTACAATATCAGGTCATTTATTTTTACTTAAAACACAGTGATGATTTGAAAAATTATAAAATATTATACCGTAATCCGTAGCAGTTTTGCTATTTAATTACATATTAAGAAAAGATTATTAAAAAAATTGGGCTAAATCATTAAAATTTTGTGGCATATCAGATCAAAAAAATGAAAAATATCATTTAATAATTTGGTAAAAATTATCCTATTATACTATAACATGATAAACGTCCACATACACGATAATCGACTCCAATTTCGACCCCTACCTTTTGATAAAAACCCGGACCTTAGAAGGTGGACTCGGATCAAGTTTATCATTATTTTAACTATTCTACACATTAAAGTGTCAATTCTTATTCTAACACATATTTTTTAAGATATCTCAATTTCAATTTTAAAAATTTATTTCTGTGATAACTGCACCTTCTGTGTTAGTTCATTGAAAAAAACAAGAATAAAATAGAAAAGTAAGATGCGTTTTGTAAGTTTCGATTCTGAGCTTTTCCTTTCATAGAAAGCTACTTTCTAAGTTTCTCAGAACTATTTTATAGGTTTTACGAATTGTACGTATCAAATATTTCATAACATCGCAATCTTTTCAAGCTATTTCTGATTTTCATTAGTCATATTTATTTAATTCACATTTTATTTGCTTCAATCATTATATTTCTATGTCTTTAAATACTGATAATAGTCCTTTTTCTAAACAAAGGAATAATTTTTTTCATAAAATAGTTAAAAAAATTTAAAGCATAATCTTTGATTCAATAATTCAAGAATAGCAAATTTTAACTGGATATCTATACTTTATAACATTATAACCATGAAGCATAAACAATCAATAGAGTTGCATACTACAATTACATTATTTGTAAAGCAGTATTGTAATGTAAAGAAAGAAAAATAAAAATTAAAGAGAATTAAATATTTGAGCACAAATATTTATAGTCATAACAAAAATGAAATATGTTTTAAATTAAAACTAACTAATTTCGCAAAAAAACTGTATAATTTAGAATGCATAATTTAGAAAAAAATGCATAATTTAGAATAAACTTTGATCCAATAATCCGAGAATATCAAAATTTAATCTGAATAAATAGGTATACTTTATAATATTATAACCATTAAACATAAAAAAAATTGAAGTCGTCATGTGTACTGCATACACATCATTTGCAAACAAATGATGTATTGTAGGGAAAAAAATTGCAAATGGGAAAGAATTAGATATTTAAGCACAATTATTTATTGTTATAGCAAAAATTAAACATGCTCAGAATTAAAATTGACGTACTTGGCATTAAAACCAAAAAATGTAATGTAGAAACGCATACAATATTTAACATTTTAAAATGACTTTTTACCGTAACTAAGAAATATTTAAAATAATTTAGGTAATTTTTTTTTATGGAAACTACATTTTGAATATATTCATGAAAGGGAAAGAAGTCATAAATATTTAGCTCTTTTTCCTCATTTTGAGACTATTTCATTTGATTTTGAAAAATGTTTTCCGTGCGCAGAAGGCAATGGACTTTTGTGATGGATGGTCTATTTGCTCTTGAAGCAAACATGAAATAGTCGCGCAATAAATTTCCGAAGCCAAATGTCACATTTCCTTAAAAATAGGCGGTATCAAGCGACAAAAAGTAGGAACTTCATTTATAAAGAAAAAAGAATATATGCGGTTATTTTAAAAGGTTAAAAAAATTAAATCTTCCATTTAAATTATTGGATGTACAATTCCTTCGAAGAAAATATTTATTTTAATTATATATTCTCCTTATTACCCATTTTCAAACTACTTAATTAAGATTATTTCATTGGAAGCATTATTTTCCAAGATCAAAATAGGATTAACATTTATGGACGTCCATTGATCTCTACGAGAACAATTTTCGAAAATGAATCGTGCAAATATATGAGTTGACTTAATCTCCATGAGAACAATTTTTGAGAATGAGCCGCTCAAATATATAAGTTGAGTTTCTTTTGGTAAGTTTGAAGTGTTACAATGTCTGAAGTGAATTAAATACTTTATATAAATTTAAGCATAAAATGCACATAATATGCAGGGTGTCTTATAATGATTATCCTTATCATAGATTTTTCTGTGTCGTTGTCAAAAATGTAATCACAATTGGTTTTAAAAAGGAATAAATAAATAAAAAATAAACAAACAAGATCGGTCGTATCGCGAACGAGGAAAGTAAGAGGAATAAACAGCATCATAGTCAATTAGATTACCTCATGCAACTCAGAGGCATTTCTGAAAGTTTCAGATTTCAAATAATTTGCCCCGCTCTCCTTAGTAGTGATTTGTAAATGTTAATGGTACAGTTTCTTTTTTCCTTAAATGATAATTTATGAACCATAATGTATTTATTTTTGTTATTTTGAATTAACAAGAATGCATTTTAAGGTCGACAATTACGACGCACCTTTTATTTTAAAAATTATATTTAGTCGGAAAAGATTTTGGTCATTTTAAAGTAAAATTTTTCTAATTAGTTTTAATTTTTCCGGGCATATTAATGTGCTATAATAAATAATTATAACATTGCCATTTGATAGTAAAAGGGTAAGAGCTGAGATTTTAATTCCTTAAGCTTATCCTAGTTTTTCATTTAGAGTTTGTTCGTTAAAGGATAATGAATGTTGGCGACAACTGTCTATTTATTGATGTTAAAAATTATGTCGAAAGTAGTCTATTGATTTAATCTTACTCTACTTAAAATGTCGATGAATTCTGTTTCATTTCAAACAATACCTAAAGATTAGTTTCTTCATTTGTTGAAAATATTTAATGATGCTAATTACAGTTCATAAAATTGTCTTATACGATTGTTCTTTGATTTGCAACTGTAATTTACATCAAGATACAAGTTTAATAGGCTTTTCAAATTTATTCTGATATTATACTTATTTAACAGGAAAATTAAAATAAAGTAAAAAAAAATTTTGAAAATTTTCCTAATTCTTTCTTATTAATGAATATTTTTAATCTAATAATATAACATCAAATTCAAATAATGCTAAATTTCGTCACAAATTTTACATCATGCACATTTTTCTACTTGGAATTAATAAGCTATCGTTAATAAATGCCCATGCCACATTGTCGTATTGTTATATCAAATCATTTTAATTAAAAGTAAAGTCACAAATATTACAAGCCATGCAATAATTATTCAGAAAAATAATGCTTTTTTAAATACAAAAATTCAAAACCCCGAAGTAACAAGTCTTAAAACTGAGCTCTTTTACACTTTTGATTAGTAGCTAATATTTTGAAACGAAGAAAAAGCCTATTAGTACCGAAGTTTTGCTAATTAAATAAACAAATCACAAAGATCCGAATTCATTTAAAGAAAAACACAGAAAACGTGCCAGCTGCTGAGAAAATTATCCATAAGGAGAATTGGAAATGGAAAAGTCTCTGATTTTATGACATGAAAACTCGAGAGCTCTTATTTCAATTTAAAATTTAATTTTTTTATTAAAGTAACTAAATGAAGCAATTCGAGGAAATCCGAATGAAACGGTTTTTTTTAAAAAATGTTTTCTTACTTGTCCATCGACTTTCCCTTCTTTAGATTCGCCTTTCGAATGACTTTTGCTATGTTTCTTTTCACCACTTTTAAAAGAATGGTCCAAAGATCCAATTTTCGGTGCAGCTTTCCAATCTAGTTTCTTGCTAATCACCTGCGTGTGAATATAAAAAAAATTACTTTAATTAAGAATGAATTTTTAACGAAGTTTTGATACTTTTTTTTTCTCTAACTGATCCTTAATTTAATTACTTACAAACTCGAAGCAATGTAAGTAAATATTTTAAATAAACAATTGAATTAATTGTAGCAACTTAAAGAGTTTTAATTCGAAAAGGTTAATATCTTTTAAAGTTTTGTAAGAAGGTGTGCTTAATTTGAATTCGGTTCAGTTAATTATTCCAGTTGGAGAAATAGAAAATTTGTCGTCACTAAAAAAACCTTCATGAGGATTAGCTAGAATATTTTCAAAGAATAAAAAGTGGAACGTTGCATTGAAAAAAAGTTTAATATTTGATTATTTAAATCGACTTAGAGTCAAAAAGTTAATTATAAATGCTATTTGCCTCATCAAGATTCTCGTGGCCTTCCTCTCCATGTACCGCAAATGTGGGTTAGTTAAATCAAAAAGTCCTCCACGAAGGCAAATTTCTCTCAATAATTGATCCAGGAGTTCCCTTGTCTTCTGGAATGGGTTCAAAATTACAAAGCTACGTAGTTGAACATTGGTAGTCGTAATCCCAAAAATTGGGTAGGCTATTCAACAGCGGTTATACTTATAATTATAATATTGTAATAATTACAATAATAATTAATATTTAATAGTGAGAATAACTAATTATGATATGATAATTAATTATTAAAGTCAGTATTTATAAAAATAATAATGATTATTATTATTATTCCTTACATGTAATGTTTAAGAAAATTCATACAATATAAGAAAGTTCGGAGCACTGAAATATTAAAAATTTCAAAATTATTATTATTATTAAAACTTAAAAAAAGAATAATTTTTAAATTGGTAATTTAATTCAATGTTCCTTATATAATTTCAAAAATATTGTAGAGATATTTTTATTTTTTTCAAATATATATTTTAGATATTGGTTATTCTGTATACATTATGAAAATAACTAAACTACATTTAGTCTCACTATATATTTTTATTTTCATGCCTTTGAGGGAGTGCTTTAAAAATATTTTAGTGTTTCAAATTAATAATCCTTCTTACAGCAATAAAATGTAGTCTACCTTTTTATCGCCTCCTCCTGGTTTATATCTAATATTATCAAATGAGCCTATCTTGGAACGAATATTTTTCAGATTAGGATTTGGTGCTAGTCCAACTGGTGCTTTAATGGGAGGCAATTCTGGAATAAAGAAAAAAAAAGGTTATTTTAATTCAACACATTTTATTTTAATTATGTAAAGAGTAGCCGGGATAATTAAAACAATAGAGCGCTCTTTTGCGTCAGAGGACAACCAGTCTCAAATCCGAGTGAAAACTGGTGAGTTTATGTCCCCGACTTGTACTGGCCACTGTGCTCTGACGTAAAACATTCCAAATAATAAACGAAAAGTTAAAATTTTCATTGCTGTCGGGCTAACCATGATAGGGTTTCATCGATTTCTTTTACATTACCGCAAATACGTGGTAGTTCAACCTCCCCTAGAAGAAAGAAAGCTTTCTCGGGGATCAATTTACTAGTCCAATGTAATGAGCATAAATTGTGCAGTGGGGGAATTAAGAAATTGCCATATTATTTGGTTTATTGAAAGTAGAGGTTAGAGGTTAGTTTCTTAAAAAAATAAGGCTAGTTTCTCCCAAGGCTTTGTCCAAAAGTCATTTTGTTTTTCTAGGTTGAGATCAAAATAACATGTTAAAAGGTCAAATTACCAGTCAAAATGTTAGTCACAAATTTAAAAAATTTTAACACTGTTCAACGCTGGTAATGACATAAAATAAATCTATAAATATGAGACAATAATAATATGATGATGTCAAATAAGAACCTTGTAACTAAGTACACCATAGGAAAATTCCTTAAATTTTTGAGATGAATATTTATTGTAAAATGTAGTCTTTAAAATGCTAAATCATTTGGAAAAAGTAGTCTATGTGAATGTTTACAGAGGGTTATATAAGCTTCTTCCTCATTCATTATGACGCCATGACCTGCTTTCTAATTATATTTTGTAGAATGAGAGGGTGTTTTGTAGGAGTCTTAACAGTGGTCAAGTTGTCATTTGTTCATGACGTCATGATGAATTTTTTACTTTTTTATTTTAGTTTAATTTTTTTACATTTATTTTTATTTTTTTATTGAAATTTTACAGTTTTGCTAGGTACTGATTACCTGATTGCCTAATGATTTTTTTACAGTGTGAGACTGAAAAAATTATTTATGTCCAATAAATTACAAAAATAATTATTAACAGTATTTCATGCCGTATATTTACAAAAACATGCCTATCAGATACATTTAATTCAACTTCAACAACTCACAGTTTAATTTTTATTACAAATGACTAAAATTCAAGAATGAAATTGAGAAGTAAATTATCAAAATGAGGTAAAATAAGTGAAAACAACTTTGATGGCAATGATTATAGCAGCGGTCAATTAGGATTGAGGAAAAGGAATGCAAATAGTTACAGATTAACTAGTACTTTCAGTAAATGACACATCTCTTACACTGTAAAGAATTCCAGATCAAATTATGGTTCAAAATATTAGCACTTTGGGTACATCATCCGTTTAACCGTGAAGTCCATTTTTACCGTAAAATATTATACCGTATATTTTAGAGTAATTTTTTAATTACTATTAATTTGAACTATTTGTTAGTATTAAAAATTTTGAATAAAAAATTTAGATACATTTGATTGACATTTTTTAAATGAATTCATTTTATCGAGTTACATTCGTTTAAAGAAAAATTAGGGGAAAATCTGGAAATTCTGAAATGTCACAATCATGTGAGATGAAAAATTCTTTGTCATAATTCATTCGTTTTAGATGCGCCAAGTACTTTTTATTGAAACTACTACAAAAATATATGGGCTAGATCCGTTGATTTGATATATATTTATTAAATATTTCTTTTCTTCTTGAATTAAATAACTAGACGTTTTAAAGAAATAAAATAAAAAAATGAAAAATACCATAAGTTGAGATTAAAATTGAATTTTTTTTCAGCACATATTGTATTGATATTTACATTAAAGTTTCATTAAATAAAATGTTACCAATTATTGTTAGTAAAATCGTTATAAAATTATCGTTATTTATTGAATCCAACTACAACTCTCTATAATGCATCTGTAAAACATAAGTCTTATATATTATATTCATTCAATTCAGTTATTTCGTTTTTTAATACAACTATTCTCACTTTAAAAACTGTTGCAAAAAATCTGACATTAATGAGCAAAATCGAAATAAAAAAGAATCATAAAATTCATATAAGTTTGTGAAAATATATAAAAATTAAATAATTAATAATTATAAATAATTAAATAACTAATAATTATAATTAATTAAATAATTAAGAAATTATAAAAATTTAATAATTTATAATGTCTTAAATGTAAAATAGTTGCAAAGTGCGTGTAACACATCATACGCATCCTAAAATATGTTAAAAATGTTTAAACACGATTGATGATGTTTAAAGTATGTAAATTATTCTAATTATATTATTTACAGGAAAAAGAACAAACATGCGGAAAATAATTCCGTTACCCGGGATCATATGGTTCATTTTAGTAACCATAAAAATTATTTATAATCTGACATTTCTTTTATAATAAAACATTTTGTACTATTTCAAGATATTGATAATTTATGTAAAACACATTCAAAACTAGAAAATCTTCTAACTCTGCTAAGTTAAAAATTGGTTTAATAGAAAAAAAATTGCTTTTTATCAGAGAGATTTATTGAAACAAAGAAGATAAATGATGTCCATATTTATTAAGACGAAAAGAAATATCACGAAAACTATTAGAAACATTTTATTAGCGATAATTAAATATATTTGTTTTCAAACAATTCTTTTTTGGAAAAGGAATCAACTCAATCAATTTTATTTCAGAGTGATATGATACAGAAGTGATACAATGCATTCGCAAATGATTCACAAAAAAAATCATCTTTTCTTTTATAAAAACTTAAAATTAACTAATTAAATGTTTAAGTTAGACAAAGGCATTTTTCTAATTAAAAATATTGTACATAATGATTATAATTGAATTAAAATTTATTTATAATATTCTTTAAGAATATCTAAAAAAATTGGATGAGTTTTTTAACAAATCATTCAATGGTGTTAGAGGAAATAAATACATAAAATTTAAGAGTTATTTAAGTTTGAATGATATTATTACTTCATTAGTATATTTACTGCGTAACACTACTTTTTTTTGCAAGAGAATAAAACTTTTTCAATTTTAGAATTTAAAAAAAAGTCAACTTGTTTTTAAGAAATAACATTTAAGGAAAGCGTAGTTTTATTTTTAAGCCTATTTATCTCGGAAATTTTTTGTATATATTCAAAAGCGCTTATGCGTCAAAAATACTTGCACGGGAAAAGTTTTAGAACAAGCAGAAAAGCATTCTTCGAAACCGAATGGTACACTGCAAAAAATTCCGGATCAAGTTCCGGTGCAAAATACCAGCACTTAGGGTACATCATTTGTAGTATCCATTTTTATCGTAAAATATTATACCGTAAATTTTACAGTAATATTTATCTGATATGAGTCATTCTGTTATTTTAAGGTAATCATTACTGAAAAAAATACGGTATATCGAATTTTTGTTCCGTAACATGTTCCAGTAAAAATCGACTTCACTGTAAAAAGTATCGATACTCTGAGTACCAGTAATTTTAATCGTAATTCGATCCGAAATTTTTTACAGTTGAGAAACAGTACATTTTTCAAAGTAATATTTTAAAGAAAATCCTTAAATAAACTAATTTAGTTCTCACTATCTAGGCAAAACCATTTACATTTGCATTTTGCTACTCTCATCAATATTTTATTTCAGAATAAATGGATTTTGCAAAAGAAATTGAAAAGGATAATCTAAATGATAAAATACAGCGCTATCATGTGGAACAGAGAGCTTTTAATTCTCTAAGCACTTGATGCACTCTGTGACTTTCTTCACAGAGCTTAGATAAAGTTCCGTAATATTCTTTAAAGCGTGAAAAGCATTTTGACTATAACATTATAAGTTCCGTTTAAAAAGAGTTGGATGTTAAGCTTATTCTGCTGGTAAGCTGGTCTGTTTATTCAATTACTGTGTTTATGGAAGCTTTTTACTTGATTTAATAGACTGCTATTAATTATTTTTTGAAAGCAGAAAGGCTTTTTAATACTTTTTAAATAATTAAATAACTGAACTTAAAATCTTTATAAGCAGTCAATTTATTATAAAAACGTCTTATATTGATTTTTCAAAAGATAATTTCGTTTTTTTTTATGAAAATGAAACTCAATTTTCTTATTGTGAATAAGTATTTTAGTGAATTATATTTTGCCCATTCTGGTCACTCACCGTGTGCCATCTTTCTGGCAGTAGCATGATTTCATGCGCACAAAATGTTTGTTCCCTAATGGCAAAAAAACTGAACCTTGGTGACTTTAGACTTACATATTTGAAATAAAGGTTTTACTGTATAAATTTTTTTAGAGACGATATACTTCTTGTGGTAGACAATATACACCGAAGAGCCATTACATTATGACTACCCTGCTAATAACATGTAGGACCACCTTTAGCCCTTAAAATTGCTAGCACTCGCAGTGGCATTGATTCCACAAGGTGCTGATAGGTAGTCTGAGGTATCTGGTACTAAGCGCTCACCAACTGGTCCTGCAATTCCTTCACATTGCAAGGGGGTGGCGTGGCAGCACGAACTTGGTTTTCCAAGTAGGACCACAAATGCTCTATTGGATTAAGGTCAGGTGAATTTTGGGGCCAAGACATGCCGTGAAAGTCACTGGAATGTTCCTCGAACCAATCCATGAAGATTCGACCCTTATGACATGATGCATTATCCTGTTAGTAAACACCATCCCTAGCAGGAAAAACTGTTGCCATGACTATGTTCAAATATCTTACAGACGTCAGGGATTGTTCTATGAGGATTATGGGTCCTAATGTGCCCCATGAATACATTGTTCCTGGGCGAGAAACCATAAAAACCTGGGCGAGACCATTGTTATAGATGGAGGGTGGTCATAATGTAATGGCTCTTCGGTGTAAATCTCGCCTCCGGCGCTGACGCGCTTCAATGAATAACTTGAATTCTATGAATATAATTAATAACTTTCTTGGCGTTAATGCAAAGAACATTAG